AAAAATAGTTACTTAAATTATTTTTTTCCTTACATTTTTTTTAATGCGAGAAAGTAACAAGACAACATACCTATGACATTTGCCGTACACGAAGTGATGTGATCCATCAATCAATTACCAAAATGACTGAAGTAAGAGCGCTAATGCTGTTGTCTGTTACATTACTTAACATTATACATTGTTCTTGTTTAGGTTCTCATCACCTTATCTTGAGGATTTTTATTTTACTAAATACCACTATTATAAATGCGAAAATTTGTATGTGTCTATGAGTGTTTGTTACTCCATCATGCCTAAACGGCAAGACGGATTTGGATGAAATTTAGTAAACAGATAGATTATGACCAGGAATCGCACATACATAGGTGCTGCCGTCATATAATAATACAAGTATAATATATTATTTAATATTATCTGTATTAATATTATAAATGTGAAAATTTGTGAGTATGGATGTTTGTTACTCTTTCACGCCTGAACAGCTGAACGGATCTGGATGTTTGGCACAGAGATAGATTATTACAGTCTGGAATAACATATAGGTTATTTTTTTTTCGGAAAAAAGTACCGTTCCCGTGGGGTAGGTTGTTTTTGCGTTCCTAGAGGCGAACTCGAGCGAAATGAGGGTGAGCTGCTATATTTCATATAATATAAATGGCCCTTACGGTCGCATCTTATCGTAGCATGCTCTGCAATTGAATAGGTTTATTGCTGCATAACGAAATCTGAGCTAAGACCTGCTTGACATTTAATTCTTTTTATTTAGAATGTTAATAGTGTTCAGACACATTATAAATTATATTATAATAATCACAAACTCAAAAATAACTGCTCGCTTAAAATTTTGATCGAAATATTGGCAATATTTTATGTTGGTAAAACACAATATTATTCCATAATTAGGCAAAAAATGGATGAACAATCAAAGCTGTTGACATCAAAAAGTGGTTAAAAGAGAGTATTTTTGGGAGCCGAGCTCTATTTTAGTAACAATGAGAACTGAATCATTAGATTTTTTAAGAAATAAAAATTCTGGCCATCATTTGAAACTGTTGAATTTGAAAAAAATACACCTTAAGTATCAATATTCTATTGGTAGATACTACATCTAATAAGGATTAATTTTTAGAAAATGTGATATTTTCGAGTATTTTTAAAAACGACAGGTTTGATGATCAGTTAGGATAATATTATGGATACATTTAGTTCTGTGGTTTTGTTCATATTACGCGATGTTTTCAATAATTTTTAGGTGACTTTAAATGGATATTACCTTTTGAAGTAAAAAATAATAATTATTAGTACACTCTTAGACTTATTGGATTATTATTTGCTATATATTATTAGGTTAAACTAAGGTTTAAATGTCAGAACGCATCAGCATTGATCCATACCTAAGGGTATTTGCCATCTAAACTCACTTTTAAACTTAACATGTAGAATTTTTCGCCAGTATTAAATAGTATGTAATATGGCCGTTGGATCAAAATGGCAGGGAGTTCGAGGACTTCGATATCTATCGTTTTGACTCTTATGTACATACATATGTTCGACGATTTTATGTGGTTCTAAAGTTATTTTGATGATTATCATAATATGATGATTTTAAAAATAAATAGTGATAACCAGATTTTAGAATAAACTTCGCAAATACAACCGAAGTATCAACTATCTGATAGTGTTTTTTTATAAAGTAATCTAATAATGCCTTTTACCATTATAATTCATTCATTCTTAAAATCTTCTAAAAGTCCTAATAAGAATATAACATCATGAACTACTTCGGTAATTTAATTTTGATCTTTAACTTCCAGAGTCTTTAAAAATATTTTTTTATTCGCGACTCTACATTTTTTTTAAATCTCCGCTTTTTTTTTAAATTACCGAAGTTGTTCATAAAGTTTTGCTTTTATTTAGACTAAGAAGATTTTGACAGTTTATGAATATGTCTGCTTTGCTTTTATTTAATTACTAGCATTGCCCGCGGCTCCGCCCGCGTTCAGATGACCAAAATCCAAATTCTTAGGTTTTATATATTAGTATACTCTTACATTATAGTTTTTGTATTTTTTCTCAGAAATAAGATATTTTTCCGCGGTAAAAAGTATCCTATATGTTGACCCGGATAACCAGCTATCACCATACCAAATTTCATCAAAATCTCTCCAGTGGTTTTTATGTGATGCGCTAACAGACAGACAGACAGCTAAAAATTCTAAAAACTATAGATTCGACCTCTGTATCGATAATCATGTTTATTTCAATAAGATTTTCCAAAAAATATCAAATGTACAGATTTGGCTTAGTTACAATTTTATTACTTATTTTTATATATGATTTAATAATGTTTTGCTTTTATTTCGACTAAGAAGATTTTGACATTTAATGAATATATAATGGTAAGAAGGCCCGATATTAGACCACTTTAGAAAAAAAAAACACTTACTTCTATATATCTCTAATCTCTATGCTTTCTACTTTACTTCGGCTGTGCTTCGGAAATTTATTCTAAAAACTGGATATTATTTACCATTAATTTTATTCACTCCAAATTACTTTGTAACCACTAAAAATATCGCTGATACACGAGATTAATCGATAGGTATTGAAGTCCTCGACCCCACTTCTAGCTTCAATCCATCAGTCATGTTACACACTGTAATATTTCATGGGACATAGGTAAAATTGGGTCTAAACGTTACACGAATCAGACATAAATCAATATTTGTTTTAAGCTGTTCTATAATTATAAAATACTTAGATTATTTGGACTTGGTATAATAAAACAACATATGATATTTTCATTTACAATGAAAGGATTTTCAGGTTAAAAAAATATCGTGAATCGGCGAAAAGCTTCAGTAGCTTTCTGACCTGTCAACGTCCTAACTGTATTGGCTTAGTGTACGAGACAAAACGAATTAAAAGTTAAAAAAGTAGTTATTATTTTTTCTTTAATAACAACTATATTTTATATTTCTTTTCCTCGCATAAATAAATTATACAAATCATGGTTTTTCGGACATAGTAATGTAATGTGCTTAAATTCATATAGAAATCTTTAAATTTCTAAAAACTTTTACCCGTCTCCCGTGTTATTTCTTTTTGACGTGTAATTTTTTATTTTCATTCGGTTAGAAACAAATTTATCAAAACAACCCAAAATATTAAGATTGAAAATTTTTAAAAACGCTTATTTGACTTACCTGTACAAAATTCCACTGCAGATCGAACGTTTGATCTTCTTCATGCTTCATGAATTAATATTCTTCTTTATAGAGTATATAGTATATATTACTATATTCATTTGAAATAATCATCTACTATATTACTAGACTGAAATATATTTTTCATATCAAAATGATATAACAAAGACGAGAGTATTAAATTAAATTTTAACGCTGCGAAAAGGAAGTAGGTTACTAAATTATTACACTATTATATTAAACTACTGGAACAAAAGTGAAATTATTTCTATTGTATTTAGTACTAGAATTGGACACTAGCAGAACTCTAGCACGGCACCTTATTGACCTAGTTACGCACGTAGGCCCCTAATACTCATTCATAAAAGTGCAAGCCAAATTTTACATTGTCTGTAAATTGCGTTGGAGATTATATGAAAAGCTACTCGTCTATTTTTTGCGACGTAATGAAGGAAACATCGTGGTTAGTGGCCTAGTTCCTACTGTTGAATATGAAAATGTTCGTTATTTTTAGAATACATATTTTGATTTTAATTAAATATGTCACAATACTTAAACGAATTGTTCTATGTCAGCTGTTTACGGTTTGTTTTTCTCTCGTATAAAAAAAATATTTTTTATTTCATCTACACTTACCACAAATCTTAATACGAAATTAAAATGAAAATTAGTAATAATAATTTTATTTATAGTATAGCTGGTAAAAGGTTATAGCTGAGGTGTATTCTAAAATCAATTACGAAGAACTTTAACTGGAAACTACTGTATGTTTAAACTATTGTTTGTTAAAAGTTGCTTAAAGATAATTAATGCATAACTTTATTCATTTCGAACTTCCTAACTTAACAGCATAGACGGGGACAATGAGAAATCTTATTAGGTAAGTTTTTCGCCCGACGTTTGATGCTATCCAGAAAGCTAAGGATGAAGTACAGATTTCGATACCAACTTAACTTTCATTGAAATTTGTCTCTCCAAACATCAGGGATTAGAACAATAAACACTTTAATATTTATAGATCTAAGAAGTCAGTTTTCTTTTATTTTAAAATGATATCAGCTTTTATATAATCTAACATATGATATTGATTTTTTTATAATTTACTGTAATAGTTTTTCACAATTTGCAAAAGTGAATAGTTCCAGTTAAAGTTACTTTCAAAATAAGAACTTCTATATTGTAGTTTTTTTATTGATTGAAAAAAAAAGCTAGCTACTAATATTTTTGTTTAAAATCTATCAATTATTATTAAAGCAGAGCTATTATACTATTATATTGTATATAACGAAGCTCCAGACGCCGTATTGTTTTTTAAAAATTATGACGTCAGCATTGCTGACGTCATTCTCTTCATTATTATTTCCATTGTTCATGGTGATACAAATTCAAACTAGAACTTCTTCCAATAATCCTTTTATTAAAGGTAGGCAAGAAACAATACTTCAGTAGAGCTCCGCACTGCTCGGTTGCTAGTGCAAAAAAAACTCGTGTGACGTCCGCTATTCGTATTTATACCAAACTCAAAGAGTGGGGAGCTCTATTATGATTTTACAAAAACAGATTTTATAAATTATTAACATGCACTGTATCTATTTATAATAATTAACATAATTAAAAACATTAGTTAAGTGTATTCATTTTAACTGTAAACTCATTTTAGTATTTTGTTTTCTTTTAAATCAAATAACAATCTTTATGACAAACAATAATCAAAAGACAACTTTTATGAAAAACATGATTGTAAATAATTAATTTTAAGAGACAATATCCTAAGTAGCTTAAGTAAATATCTTAAATAAATGATGTTGCGCCGATACGGCCGTTTCTGACCGGCGGTGCGCGCTCTGCACCAGCCGCATGTATGACTTTTATCGGAGAATTCTCGAAGTTCATCTGAAACAGTGAAATGTTTTCTTTTTGAGCTTGGTATCTGTGTACCTTTAAGTATAACATGATATGATTTTATATAGTAATTTATTTTGTGTAATTTTTATTGTGGCGTACACTGTGGTACTATTGTAAATATAACGTACACTGTGGTACTATGTTATTGTGTACTCTGTGGTACTATGTTATTGCGTACTCTGTGGTACTATGTTATTGCGTACACTGTGGTACTATGTTGTTGCGTACTCTGTGGTACATTGTGATGTATGTGTAACTATTGTAGTGACATTTTAATAATCGAAATATAAACATACCTTTTGTTTTAATCTGCTTACTCTTGAGTTCGTTGTTCGACTATATTGCTTCGTGAAGTAGATGCTATAGCCTCATTGGTTGATGCTGGAGAGTCGTCTTCTTCCGCCGATACGGTCATCTGGTCTCCAGGTTTGAGGTGCCCGACGAAGTTGATCATGTGCAACTTTTCTTGGACGCCCTGAACCAACCACCTTTTTTACTAGATAGCGGTCATTGTTCAGGATTTTCGTTATTTCGTAGGGCTCGCTAAATTTTAGATCCAATGAAGTTTGGTTACGAGGATTATTTTTAATGAGTACATAATCACCTCGCTGAAACTGACGAATCTTTGCTTTCTTTGAATTGAAGCGTTGCTTGTCCTGTTCTGCATTTTTTGACATTTTTGTTGAACATGGGCTAGTGAGTGCTTCAATATCAATAGTCTGCTCGTCAATATTTACGAGAGTTAGCAGTTCTGGAGGAACACAATGTCTGCGTTGGGTAAGTAAAGTAAGCGGAGCCACGCCTGTCACACGATGAGAAGTGCAGTTTAGTGCCAGTTGAAGTTCTTCAAGTGTCGTGTGCCATTCTTCTGTTCGTAATTCTTGATCATAACAAGAGTATTTTTTAATGTTGCTACGACACGTTCTACTTGCCCATTGGCTCGGCTGACTCCTGGTGCTATAGCGTGGACGTCTATTCCTACCCGGTCACAGTAGGTTTTAAATTCGCCCAAAAAACTCTCTGCCTCCGTCGACTACGATTTGGACTGGAGTACCGAATAGGTGAACCGTACGTTTTAGAGCAGCCAGCGTACTATGTGGATTTTATTAGTTGCGTAATAAAATAGCACGTATTTTGTAAAAGCGTCTATGGTGACAATCACGTACTGTCGGTCGTCAGATGTTCCCATTTTGCCCGTAATATCCATGTGTATCACTTGAAAGGCAGCAGTCGGTTTTTGAATCGGGTGCATTTGAGCTTGTATAGCACCAGATGCTCCTTTGGATGTCCTGCAGACCACACAGTTATCAACAAATTTTCGTACATTCGTGCTCATTTTGTCAAACCAGTAGCTATCTTTAATTTTCTGTAATGTCTTCTCCCAAACCAGGGTGTTTTAATGCAGTGTGGAATGAGTTTATTAAACTCCACTGAAATGACCTCGGAAACTACTGTGCAATGTCTTTGTCCAAAGGCTGGATCCTGCACGATGCGCTTCAAAACATTGTTTTCTAATATGTAGCCATTCCTAGGATCGTTATTACTCATACCATCCATTATAGCTCGCAATGCTTCGTCGCGACGCTGTTCAACTTTCAAACCAATCGAGATCTCTGGTCATCATATTTACTGTGAGCTCTACCGGGTTTCTGCTGAAGTAGTCTGCATGTTGAAGTTGTTGGCCTTTGCGATATTCAACCTCAAAATTATAGTTTTGCAAAAAATGCCCACCAGCGTGTGAATTCTGGGTAGCAGGTCCTTTTTGTGTTTGGATGCTTTTAGTGCAATTGCAATCCGTGAGACTGTGAACTTACGTCCATAAAGATATTGTCGAAAATGTTTTATTGCTCGAACCACTGCCAAGGTCTCTAATTCATAAGAGTGGTATCGACTTTCAGTTTCTGTAGTCCTCATGCTCATGAAGGCCACTGCATGTTGTCGTTCCCGCAATTATACTTGTACCAGTACTGCTCGAATCCCAGAATACTTGCGTCAGTGTATAATTGAATTGGTGCTTCCTCTTGAAATAGTGTAAGTACTGGAGTTGATGTTAAGCATTGCATGACCTTCTCTCTTGCTGTTTCGTGGCGTTCGTTCCACTGCCATTTCGCTCCTGGTTTAGTTAGCTCATATAGCGGTACCATTATGCGTGAGAAATTTGGTATGAATTTCCTGAAGTAGCCCGCCAATCCACAGAACTGTCTTACTTGTCTGGGTGTTGTTGGTACTGGTGCTTTTACCAGTGCATCTATTTTCCGTGGACTTGGCCGGACTTGTCCATCTGATACGATGTTGCCCAAATATTCGATTGACCGTTTGAAAAAGCTGCATTTATCAGCATTTAATGGAAAAACCAGCATCCTGTTAGAGGCAATGAGAATACGTTCAATGTTTGAGAGACCTTCTGTAATATCTTCACATTTGCTTAATACGTCGTCAACATACACTTGAGCTGCATTCCCCAATAAAGGGCTCAGAGCTCTGTTAATGCATCGCTGATAGACTGAGCATGCATTGCTCAAGCCAAATGGCATAGTCATATATTCATATAGTCCATCTGGTGTAACAAATGCTGTTTTTTCAATTGATGACTCTGCAATCGGTATTTGGTGAAATCCAGCAGCCATGTCAAAGGTTGTGAAGAACTGTCCTTTGGCCAATTGGTCAATTTGATCCGAAAATTAGTGTGGTAATGGATAGTGATCTCGTAATGTATTAGAGTTAAGCTCTCTAAAATCCACGCACAACGGTCATCGCCATTTTTCTTTTTAACCAAGATGATGGGACTGGAGTATGGAGACTTACTTTCGCGCACAATGCCATGCTCCATCAATTCATTTACAATAGCTCGTACTTTTTCTCGTTCAACTGGACTGAGCCTATATGGTCTTCGTTCTACGTACTTGTCTGGGTTCTTCAAGCGGATTTCGAGTTCGCCAGTCTTGACACGAGTTGTTGGGTAACTCTGATAAACAGGTGTTGATATTTGTTCAGAAGCGTGCGTAATTTTGTAATATCTTCTTCACTCGTGAGGTCACAATCCAATTATCAAAGATCGTGTTCATACATTGAACCTGATTGATATTCAGCAGACGTGTTAACCTTGTTCCAACCGAAGTAATCATCATAGTGAGATTTGTATTATTTATCAAGTTCATTCCTATTAAAATATCTGTCGTCATCTCGTAGTCCGCCACTATGTAGAATTGTAGTTCAACATTGATGTTATCAATGACCCCAATCGTAACAAGTGTAGCTATTGAAAGTACAGGAAATTGTCCAATTCCCCTCAAGTAATTTACCGTTTCTAGTCTTTTTCCTGGCAATTGAGCTGCTATAGATTCTCGTATAAGTGAGCATTCTGCACCACTATCAAAAAACTGCCTGAAAAGTTCTTGGTCCAATCTTTACCTGAATCGGAGCTAGTTTTTGATCCAGCAATGTAATTTACGTTTGATGTTAATGAACGTTCGCGTTTGAAGCAGGTTTCAAAAGAGTGCCCTGGTATTTTGCAAATGAACAGATTGTTGTTTTATTGTTCTGGTTGGAGGTTACTTCCTTGTTGTTGTTTTCGGTTTTAGTTTTGTTCCTTTGTTCAGGTTTGGATTCAGTAGGCTTATAATAACATTCGCTAGTAGTGGAATTAGATCTTTTACAGATACGGCAGGGTAAAGTCGATGGAGTTGCGTTTGAAAATCGTGGTCGTTTACTTGTGTTCACACTATTTGAATTCGGGTGAGCACGCTTCATTGTTCTTATAGATGATGCAACAGATATCAGCTCCGGTACCGTTGTGGCCCGCGTGTTCAGTAGCTCGATCCTAAGTCTTTCATCGTTTACACAACCAATCACTGCTTCAACTGCATCTTCATTTGATAGTTTGTCCTTGGTGATTCTTCTCCATAAGACCCAAGCACGTGATAAAAACTCCGAGATGTCTTTTGAAGAGTCATAAACATGTTCTCTGAATCGAAACTATGTCTCGAGAATAACGGTTTTTCTGGCTCGAACGTTGTGATGAGGTTGTTACGCAGTTCAGCCCATGAAGCTGTGGTGACCATCCAATCGTCAACCCACATTTTCGCTCTTCCCTTTAAGAGGCTGCCAACTTTCATTCGTATATCAAAATCGTTGAGTCTGTATGTTTCAATGGCCTTGTCGATGTGTTGACAACACTCACGTACTCCCACATAGTGTCGGGGTCAAAAGATGGTAAGTAAATGTCATTAATACGTATTTTCGTTTCTGGCGGTGTACTTAAACGTTCCGACATTTGCTGCATCACTTGCATTATCTGCATAAGGAATTGCGGTGGTATACTGTTCATTGATGCGTTTAACAATGCTGATTGTGGCTGGTCTTGCGGCAACACAGTTCCAGTATTGCTTGTGGTATTCAATCTATGGTCTGGTTCTGTTGTAGCATCAGGTTGTTGTTGAGCGGAAGTGGCGAGCGATCCCACTTCTGATAACGAAGCTCCAGACGCCGTATTGTTTTTTAAAAATTATGACGTCAGCATTGCTGACGTCATTCTCTTCATTATTATTTCCATTGTTCATGGTGATACAAATTCAAACTAGAACTTCTTCCAATAATCCTTTTATTAAAGGTAGGCAAGAAACAATACTTCAGTAGAGCTCCGCACTGCTCGGTTGCTAGTGCAAAAAAAAACTCGTGTGACGTCCGCTATTCGTATTTATACCAAACTCAAAGAGTGGGGAGCTCTATTATGATTTTACAAAAACAGATTTTATAAATTATTAACATGCACTGTATCTATTTATAATAATTAACATAATTAAAAACATTAGTTAAGTGTATTCATTTTAACTGTAACTCATTTTAGTATTTTGTTCTTTTAAATCAAATAACAATCTTTATGACAAACAATAATCAAAAGACAACTTTTATGAAAACATGATTGTAAATAATTAATTTTAAGAGACAATATCCTAAGTAGCTTAAGTAAATATCTTAAATAAATGATGTTGCGCCGATATATATAAAAATATTATTATAAATTAAAAATTTTAATAACCCCCTACACAAATTAATCATTATTTAACGATAACAGTGGCAGGGGTGAAGCACTTAACCGAGTAATTATACACCAAAATGCCATCATTTTGGAAAAGAGCTAATACTCTTACACGGCTGGACCGATATTAACCAAACATAGCTAAGAACCACCGCAAGGCTTCCAGGTGAAAAAAACCGCATCGAAATCGGTCCATCCGTTTAAGAGCTACGATGCCACACACACACATAAAGACATCGACGTCAAACATATAACATCCCTCTTTTTGCGTCGGGAGTTAAAAAAGGAATACACTATCTCTGTTCTAATTGTTTCTTAGTATCAATGTAATTGTTTTTTGTTGACCCCGTTTTTTGACGCCGACATATTTTGAAAAGTTAATAATGATTCTGCTACTGAATAAAAATTATAATTATTCTAATTTACAGGACAGGATAACAGGACTCATACGCAAATTCTATCTCCTACTTCAAAGGATCCCTTTTTCTTTACTTGTTAAAAATAACTTATATGACGCTCGTCCAAATCTTGAGGGTTTGGTTTAACAAAACAGACTTTAGATCTAAATTAACCCTTTAATACCGATTAATACTTCGTGTCTTTTCACATTCTACGTGACATTGGCGAAGAAAACTGTACTCAACTGGTACGCTTTATAGTCATTATCAGAAAAATTGAATTGAACTCTTTAAAAACATATCCATAGATATATAAATCAATTGCTGTTCTGAATCTGAACCTGGAGGTATATCAGGGATGGTTTAAATATAAAAAAAATAGGAAAAACCCATAAGAACAGCTGGAAAATCGAAAAGTTCAGTACTGGTTTGGTGGAATCACTACTTCGGATTTCTTTCAATAGCGGTGGACCTACCATCTACAACTATACGTAAAATTTAAGTTGGAAAAAAATATATATTTATGTAACAGTATATAATCTATCTATTCTATACTAACCATTAAATTAGAATAAGAATTAAACTAAAAATTAAAAAATATCATTTCTCACATAAACGATTTAAGCTACATCTTTTTATAATACAATGATACGCAAGACAAGTGCTAGGAATGCGACGCGAAATTAAACACACTTTAAAAATAATGAGCGTAGTTGCAAGCAGCGCGTTTCAGATAGCATTCTTCAGGAAATACAAAACATCGCGTCTAGACAATGGTAGTAAAGAAAAATATAATTTGTGAACATGTACTACGAGTATCTACGCTGTCCCACTTCAAGTGTATGTACTACTAAAATTAATTTTTTAATCAGTATTGTTGAATTCAAACTTAAAAGGAATGTTGTTGAAATGTATGTCTAAAATTTAATGAACTAAATATTCTACGCTGTAATTGTTAATAAATAATTGAATACCATCATAATTCAAACTTAATAATAATAGCAATTAAAACTTTTATGGCTATTAGTTGGAGATAATTAAGCTATTAAACTAGCTTCTCACCTTCGCTTCGCAAAAACAAATTCATCCCACGGGAACCGTACAATTTTCCGGGGTAGAAAGAAACCAATATGCTATTCCAAACTATAATCTATCTCCGTGCCAAATTTCATCCAGATCCGTTCAGCCGTTCTGACGTGATTGAGTAGCAAATATCCATCCATCCAAATTTTCGCATTTATAATATTTATGGGATATCTAATCTTTGACATTGTGTGTATGTTTAATATATCTTTCTAATAAATTAAGCATAAAATAATAAATTATTTATTAATATACATAGTTTTAAACAAAACCTCTTCATAATCTCTTAAGTTTGATCGTTAACAAAATATAATATATGTAATAAATATATATAAATTAACAAGTATCTCCCAACATTTTAGACAGTACCCAAAACTACATAAGTGGACGCTAAACTAATAACAAATATTAAACTATAATGAATGACTTGAGCGCCCGAACCATATGCCTAAGTCTATTTAATGGTTTTAGATTTATATTCTCAAGATGAACATCAAATGATCCGACATGAACTTAGAAATTATTATCGATAAAGTTCACGACATTTATATTGCACAAGTTTGGAGAAATTAATGTTGTATGTCTAGAGATTCTCTTGCAGAAAAGTTTGTTAATTAACTTTAACTTTGTGCCACAAAAAGATCTGTGAAAATTAGTTTTAGGTATTTTATAAAAGGGACTATTTCAAATGAAATATTGACTTCGTTATGTTAAAATGTCTGTTTTGCGATAGGTAATTAAAACACTTAGACCCTATTTACGTACCATTTTAAGAATTTAATACCATCGAAGATGCATAATATGTAGACTAGGTATATTAATTGTATTAGAAAAATAAATTTTCTACTAGCTAAAGCATGTTATCCTTCGTTACCTAGCATGCAATGGCTTAAAATTAGAAAAAAAGTGCAACAGCTTGACTAATTTTTTTTAGTAAATTGGTCTTCTTTAAAATCCCGAAAAAAAAAATCCCATAAGAGACTAAAAAATATTCGTGCCAAATCCAATGATCGTATTCGGTCGATTGCTATACAAAATACGAGATGGAAGCTCAAAAAATGTAATATACATATGGGAATCCTCCTAATAATTATAGTTCTGCCTTAAACAATCGCATTTATAGCCAAAGTCACGAAAAATACAAACAAAAGCCAACAGTAATTTAGTTGCTTATGTGCAAATGAATTTGGCGCGGCTTATTAAATAGTTTGTGGATATGATGTTGTGAGCGCTCGAGCAAATTCGTGTAATTACGCTTAAACTATGCAATAATAGAAATAAACTTTTATAGATTATTATGATATTAATTTAGTACTTTTCAGTTCTTTTGTTCAGTGGCTTCCAGAAATGCCGTTTGGGCGCAATTTGGTCTTGTAGAATGCATAATGTAGACGGTTTAATATTATCATAATATGTTCAATATGGCGATGAAATTTTTTTTTTAGAAAAAAATTGACAGCGTCGAAACAAAATTTATGGTATAATCAAAATTTATTTTAGAATATATCCGAAAATAACATTAAAAATTTAAGTAATAGTATAAAAATGTTTTAAAAGATAACAAAATTGAAAGTGCATAATTATTACAAGACATCATTCAGACAAAGAGAGACAATAGCATTCCCAAGGAGGGTTGACGTCAGGCAGGCGGCCGGTCATTAAACTTTTGCCAAAACCTATCAGCAGTACAGAAAATGCACTGCGCCTACCCCAAGTGATTGGGAAATGGGCAAGGAGAAGAAGAAGTTCAATATGGCGATGATAGTTAGATCATTTATACATTTTTAGTTTTTTTAGTTAGGTACCTACATTTATGACAGTGTTAGCCCAATGGTAACGTGCTCGCTTGGGAAACCAAGTGAAGCAGGTTCAAATCCCAAATCTCACGCCTTTGATATGATTCATGTGCAAAGCATTTCCAAAATGTTTACCACTTGTCTTACGATGAAGTAAAACATCGCGACGAAACCAAGACCTTCATGTTTGAGAGAACTTAGCAAGACCCGCACTTGGCCAGTGTGAGGTACTATGGCTTGATCTCTCTACCCACTCGAAGGGCGGCTCATGTCCTGCAGTGGGACTTTAAAAAGGGAACTGAACTGAATACATACATACATTTACAAACTAGATGACTATTGAGGTACTTGAACTAAAACGATTTTTTTAACACCTCCAGGTAAATTTCTAAGAAATTAATTAAAACTCTAAGAAATCTATTGTTAGCTGACACGCCGGCATGTCCGCGGCCGTGGAGGAAATAAAAGTACGTAGCTGTTTTCACGTATTTGGTATTTCGATCCAAGACATATTAAATGCTTGCTTCCTTGCTAATATTATAAAGTGATAATGTATTTGTGCTTTTTCAGTTTATTGGTCTTATACCACTACCAATTTAGTAAATCGACATTATTTTTTTATATAGATTTAGTTTTTTATGCTGATACTCTCTGTGGAATATTATTATATGTATTATGAACTTGCATAAAGGACACAATATGGAGAACGGCTCGCTAGAAACACTTCTAATGTAATTTAATGGTAAGTAAATAAAAAGTAAGATTATAATCTTATATCTTTAAACGAGCAATTCTTGTGTATATATATATCCATATATATCACGATTTTCATATATATATATATATTTCGGGGGCGATAAATCGATTTAGATTAGTCTTATGTATGAGAAAACGCGTGTTTTCGAGTTTTCACGCAGTTTTCTTTTGCATTATTCCACGCAAGATATGATCGGTAATTAGCACGCGCGGTCATAAGCATCGTGGTCAAGCAGCCAAGGTGCAAGATAAACAA